AATTTTGTGTTTTGAGTTATGTATCTTACCTAAAGAGAACAAATCCAGTAGTTACTATAGTTTCGTAATTGTAGGAATTTATTGGCAGTGCTACATAATGCACGTATGATACTGATTTGTTGTTCTTTATCTTGTGTCCGATCAATGTCGTAAACTCTTTTATAAGAAATACTGCGTATGAAATGTAGTTTTTCACTTGGAATCTGCTTTGTATAGTACATGTATTTAACACGTAGGCATGTGTAGTACACTCCGAAGGTACGATTGCTGTTGCTACCAAATGAGTGGATATTTTAGGTGTCGTACGAAATAAAGTATAAAGTTGATAGTTTTGCATTATTTCTTCACCAAGCATATTTGATAGAACTTTTTCACCGTAATCATGTTTAACTTGAATTGTGAAGTTAGCCTTAATTGCGAAATTATTCCAATACGGAAATATCCAGTCAGCGGGAATACGCGGCAAAATCAAATATCTATATAATGAAACGTATATTATATAAATACATTGTTATTTAACTACTAAAGTTTATACATAGTATTTTTTCTACAAAACAAAAGAAAAAAAATACTGCAGTATTGTTTACTTACGATTCTTTTTTGTTTTGATGTATATATGGAAAGATCGTTGCACCTATTTCTAAAATGCACTCATATCTCATATTTATCCAGTATATTCCAGGTATTATATCTACTTTACGCACCTTTTTTTTAGAGTTCATTTGATACTCTTTTTTAAGGCTAATATCAATGACCAATTGGTTTTCTTTAGAGTATAGCATGTATTCCCAATACGAATTATAGACATTGATATCGACGTTACCATCATATAATTTGTTACAAGAACGTCCAAAATATAATTGTATATCTTGCAGTACACATGAAACGTTCAGTTTGACACGAGAATCAACAGTGAGAGAATTGTTTTGTACGTTTGCAGAAATATTTATACGATATTCTATGGGGTGGTAACACTGCGGTACTTGAGATAAATTCGCATCAGTTGAAGAAGCAATTCCGGTTAGAAATAGGAAGCATGTAATTCCAAAGAATGTAAGCATATGCGTACTTTGAATCTGTAAAATGTATTTGTTTATTAAACAAACATTACATACGCAAATAAAAACGCAACACACACATTTAATATGTACAGAATAAATGTTTGCTTTTTCAGATATACAGTCAAATTTCTCACAACGTATACAGTCGCGACAAGTCTCCCAAAACGTATACTTCCCATATTTCCTCACTCTTTATTTCGCGCACATATGCAAAGACTTACTTATTATACATTCATCTCGCGCTAGCGCAGTTTCGCTTGTACTCAAACTAATTGGTGAAAAAATTGATGAAGAAGAAAGTTTAAAAGTTTTGAGAGTGAATTTGTATACATTTTGGGAGTATACGTTTTGGTAGGTTCGACTGTAAATATGAAGAACTGATGTGTATGATTGTTATAGTGTATGTTTATCACTAGGTAGCACTGTTGTTTTATATTTCTCATGTACGGATAGCCATACTTTCACATATTAGGTGTCATGAATACGGTGTTTTTATGAACTTGACATGTAGAAAGAGAATTGAAGATTAAAAAGTAGAAATTCTGTTGAACATTTTTAACAAGATAGTAAATATTTTGAGGAAAAAAATCATATTCAAAAAATTTTTCTCCATTTTTCGAGCGCGTTTTAATTATTTAATATGTCACACATTGTAATTATTACGTCAATGTACAATTACAATTGTATATCGTAATAATATTTATGTAATATTAATCTATGTAGCATTAACGAGTAGTAAAACTTGCACAATATTGATAAAATAAAGTAAATATGAATTTTTAAATTATAAAGTAGAAAAAACAATTTCCATATTGTTTTAGTGCATGATGAAAAACAGAAGTTATATTTAAAAACAAAAATTGTATTTTACAAATACTAAAGGAGCTTTTCATAACTTACCATGTTTAACATAATAATTATCTCTTAAAATATAAATCTTGAGCACTACTTTATACGTGTTATCGCTATATAAGTCAAAAACGAATTGCCTGAAAATATCCGCAATCCTGCTTGTTCGAGAGATGATCGATAACTACAAGACAGTCGTTTTCGTGAAATAATAAATACATATCACAATGTAAACGTCTGTATTGAAAGAACCGACCTTCCTTAAGTTATATTACGTATACATATATATAGAAATATGAGTTTCAAAATATGTATTTTCAATGTTCAAAAGACATTCATATACATACTGCTTTTTTCAGAAAACATTTCAATACATATATGTTTTTCTGGAAAGATACAGGTGAAAGACTATACCAAAAATCTAACAAAATTCTCAAAAACTTATTTTTAAATGTGCCAATATTGTGCACGGAAATATGTAAAAGACTTCTTGCGCAGGAAATTAGAAATAAAGGCGAAAAATTACGAATACACTCGAAACACGTTAAGTGCAGTATCAGTTTCTGAGGACTGATACTGATACAGTGAACGTTTCGGTTAGGCAGCGTCAGTCCCTGGGGACTGTCAAGGAACTTTCTGCCATTTTCATACTCTGTAACCCAATACTCAGCGAATTGTCGCCGCCGCGTCGTCACGCCGCTTGAACGAAAAACACAGCAAACTCGGCTCTTAACGTTAAAATATTTATTGAAAAATATTTATTGAAAAATATAGTTTTTGTAACTATTACGTATAGTTTTTATACTTTTTGTTTAACGCAGAGACATGCCAGAACTTGCGTAGAGTCACGCTTGACTCGAGCGTGGTGTTTTTCAGAAGACTTTCTGCAAGTAGTATGTTCTACAACATTGTCGATCCGGATATTTCATCAAAACAAAAGTGGTATAATTAGTATGTGTCAATTGAAAATGCATTTAATGTTCTTCTTTACACTAGTGCGGCTTGTGTTAATAAAAACTGTCGCAACTATTTTTTAAAGGCAGATAACGGAAATAAAAAAGTATTTCTCGTTTTGCTTTTACTACTGATGTAAATAGAGCTCAATAGCATATTTATGGACACTACTGTACATTGATAAGATGATCTATATCGAGTTTCACGTTATTTTGTTACGATTTGTGAACAAGACAAATTAACTGATTACTCAGTAAATTGAATGTTTTTATTTATTTCTCGCCACAGTTCCGTAACAAGTGAGTTTTGATGTATCATTAAATTGTTTTGAAAAAAACAAAGATAATATGTAAAAAATGCTTCTATAAACAGATCTGATATTCACTGCCAGTTCTAAAACTTTATACCACATGTAACGTTAAGTATAGCTTTTTAGTACTATACGCACGTATTCTCAAAATAATCACGGTTTCTTCTGAGCGATTGAGTGCAGACGCTGAAAACTTCAAACCTCTTCGTAAGAATGACATCTAATAAACACGCAAAACTTTTGTCATATAGTTTCTTTTACATTAGGAATACTTTATTTTACAAAATCAATCCAAAGTACAAAACAGCAAATTAGTAGAAACAATCGTCAAAAACTGACAAATTTTATTTTACAAATACTGTTTTTATTATAAGTAATTCTATATTACATATCTTTTTTTACCCATATTAAATAAAACACATAACACCTCTTTTTAAAATACATTATAATAAAATTATCATTTGTTTGTTTTTAAATAAATACAAAAATATATTACAAGTAACATTATTTTATCATACATACATAACTTTGATATAAATTTGATTTTTCTATAACCTTTGTTTTCCACTTCATAGTTGTACATACCTGCATACTTGTTTTTATATAATGTGTGCTTTGTATTCGTTTGTGCGCAATTCATTCTAGTTAAATGTATACTTAATCGCTTTTGTGTGAAGATAATAGACAAAACCTTATGGTATATTTTTAGTATTTTAATGTATAAAAAAATTCAATTTTTTTTATGAACAAGTTGCAATTATAACATAAATAAAAATCTCTAAAATATATTCTCGTAATCTAATAATACGTAAAATATATTTAAAATAGACATTAACTATAATTTACAACAAATGTAAAGTTATAAATAAAATCGAATTTTTTATATGACAATATCCATTTGTTATAATAAGCGTTGAACATGTACAAATATTCTTTTTTAGTTAAATAATAAAATAGCACACAAACATTAAAAACCACTTACTTTTTCATATTTTTGTAATCAAGTAAGTCGTGGACTTTATTACGAATATAATATCGCCTCCTTCTTACAAATGTACGGCGAGTTTCAATTTTTTTTACAATAATGTTTTCCATGAACGTTGCCTAAAAAATATTACAACATATATTTTTGATACTACATTGGATATATTTTGTATAAATATATTTTGTGAACTTTCTAACAATCTGTACACGATATGAATTATATTTTGTAATATTTAAAATCAAAGTAACAGTTTTAAATAAAAACAATGTACAAATACAAAACACGAACACTTTTATTCTTCTGTTTATACAAAAAACTTTTATAAAAAACATTTTACCGTGTGTACATCATATACGTCGAGTAGGTTTTCAAACAAACGTACTACAGCCTTAGTAACCTAAAACAATTGTGTGATTATACTACTGAACGTAATGACTTGTGAAACTGTATTAAACATGATAATCTTTAATTATGCTAAATTAAGAGTACATACAGTACTGTTATAATTGTAATACTCGCGTACGCATAAGTATTCATTAATAAGAGATATATTCTTTATTTATATATAGCTATATATTAAACTATTACTTTTTCACAACGTACCATTTCGATATCTTCATCTAAATATATGTGGTTAATACAAAAATTCACAATTGCAGGTAGACTGATTTTTCTTTTAAATAAAACACACATAACAGATAGTTAGTACAAAATCTTTCTTAGTATACTTAAAATCTTATACAATATGAAAAAACAATTTACTTAAAGTGAATAAATCTAACGACAAATTCGATTGGATACACTAATGCGCACTGAGTGCCAATCGAAGTTGTTGTAATATACATATATATAAAGTTGTAATATCATACTAAACTATATAAAAGTTTAAGTGTAATGTACAATACATGTACAAATAATATATAAATAGTATGAAAATAAATAAACAGTTCTCTATAAAAAAATTGTGGTTACCTTGGAAATCTGGCTTTTATTTTGCTTATTATAGTGTCCAATGAAGAAAAATCTCTCACATGTCTTGCCACAAGATCGAAAAGAATGGAAACAGAATCACTTTCTTGTATTGAATCATGTTCAAGTTCAGATCGCAAAGTTTCTATACTATAATACAGTTCACAACAAGATAAAAATTGAAAGAATTGTTCTTTTTTCTCTTGTAACACGTATATGTCCTGTATTGTTTTCCACTTTATATACGTAGTTATTATTTCTTTTATCACACCTTGGCAATATATCCATCTCTGCCAACTTGGCAACAATCTGCAAATAGTTACAAGAAAATATATAATTTTACTCACACATTATTACTCGAACGGTTTTACATACTTTTCTTATGATATCAAAATGAAGTATCGACATTCATGTCACATTTGGTATTACGGTTTTACTAATTGTAGAAACAAGGAGTTTTTGACGTTATAGTTAACCAAATTTATACACAAATATACGTACTTGTAATGTACAAATTGATATACTTTGTAGAAATAAATGTAATATTTACAGAATAATTCAGTTGCAACCTTGTTGTGTTTACAATATCACAATTTTCTATCAACTCAGGGTACAGTTACATTGTAGTACATATAATCAGTAGCAAAGTGTTATACAATATTACTTTGCTATTAGAAAAATAGATATACGTACTTGTTTTGTACAGGATTTTCGAAATGCCAGTTCAATATATCAGTAAGATGGTCTTTACATTTTACACCACCAAGAATACAAGTCCATTTTAGAACTTCGTGATATACTTGATTATCAACGCTATTCTCGGAAACATTTTTGTGTAATGTCTTTTCAAGAAAACTATATAATAATTCTAATATGGTATCCTTAAAAAACAATGGAAACTGTGTTAATATCTTTTGGTGAATCTATATTTTTTACATAAACTTAAAAGTTTTGTATTACAAAAGCAGAGTATGTTTGTTTTTGTAATCTATCCACTAGTTTGTTATAATATTGGTAATATGTGTACGTTTATAAATAAATGTAACTGTGTTTTGATTTTTCTTTTTACGAACTNATATGTACAATACATAATAATGTTTTGTTGTCAGATAATGAAAGACAAATGCAGAACGTATCGTAACGTATACATTGTATAGTACTATATTGATGTACTGATTTTTTCTTTTATTTAGTTGTTCTTGTAAACTTTGTAATTTTAAATTTTTCTTCGCGCACTATAGTACTATTTACCTTGATTTTTGCGCTTTCTAGAAACGGGAAAACTTTTGATACGTATTGAAGAGCAGTGAATATCGGATACCATGTTATGTACGAATTTTTTACGTAAAGTACATTGCTTGCAAGATTGAAAAATATGTCTATATTACTACTGTCTGCAACAGGATGTTCGTTATACTTTGTATTTTGTATTAAAAAATAAAAAGCATCATCAAGAATTTGNGCNAAAGNGGAGTCAGATAATTCAGATACATTCCAATATATNGATATTGGATTTTTCAAAAAAGAAGCAATATCTTTCCAAGATTTATAATCATAGTTGACGCGATATCCTGCAAGAAATAAATGTATAACAAAACCAATACAAAACCAAAAAATTAAAAAAAGAGTAAGAAGAATAGAAAAAAAAAGAAAAAGAACTACTAAAAAAGAAGAATAAGTGTAATACGGTGTTTCAAATTTTAAATGTAATATAAACTATACATAAGACACTACAGTTATAATTTCTTTATTTTATACTACCATTTTGCTCTGTGATTATAATAAAATCATCTTTAACGTGCCGAACATATATAGTATTTCTTTCTGGAGTTAAACACACATGATAACGTGTAGTATGCTTATTTCTTGATATTGTTACGTAAGTTACAGGTATCCACCACTTGTGTTGACACAGTTCCTTTTTAGTGACTGTTACACAGTCTATAACCTTTATTATCAAAAATTGTGTGTTATTGTGTGGTGTTACTTGTACCACAGGGTAACCATCTTGTGTTATCCAAGAATGTATCACATTTTTTATATTTATATTCATTAAAAGGCTATTGTTATATACGGCCGGCAGTACTACTAAAGTGTTCCATAAATTATCAAAAAATGACTGTTTATTGTATGTATTGTTTAACGTATTCCTACTAGTAACAACAAAAAGCATAAAAAAATAGTAGTGTTAATTTTACTGTTTATAGAAGGATATGTGATATTTTTTACACTTTACTTATTGTGCATTTTACGCTGTATTAAACATGTTTCAAGTACTGTAATATCAATTACTCACTTGGTAGAATATAATTTCATTGCTTCCTTAAAAATAGAGTTGTATAAAACAGTTTTGTTATGGAACAAAGTATTCATCATAGAAAATATATTGAAAGCTATAACATATTTCCAAAAATGTAAAAATTATAAATATCTAATTAAGTTATAAGAAAAAGAATATGGGTAATAATGTTGTCAAATGCATACAATAATAACTCTTTGCCTATACTTAATAATTCGGTGACATATTCGCGAATATTGTATTACTTATTCTCATTTTTTGTATATTTTTAAGAAGTATTATTAAAGTGAGATTATTTTTATTTGCAAGTATAGAAGCAAAAGCATACGTAGAAGTTTTAATTACTGATTTTTTAACTTTACCTTTTCCTTTCCACATTTTACTAAACGTTTTATTGTAAAGAAATACATTATCTTCTATTTGTATATCATATTCAATACACGCTTGCGTATATTCAAAAACTTCTCGTCGTGTCTGGATTACAATCGACTTCAGTAAAGTCTCAGTAGCAATCTACCAACAATTTGTATGATTACACATGTCAATTAGCACCGCCATTTATGTTTATGAAAAGTACTTTAATCTTTAATATTTGTCAAAAAAAAGGTATAATAACAACTTATCATCACTAACATTATTAAAAATTTTGTATAACAGAAACAATAACGAAAATTGAAATGTGACATTACAACTCTCTTAAAAACATAAAACACAATTCTTTGTTTTCATTCACTATGTAATACATTAGATTTATGTATATTATTTTGNAAGTGTAATACGGTGTTTCAAATTTTAAATGTAATATAAACTATACATAAGACACTACAGTTATAATTTCTTTATTTTATACTACCATTTTGCTCTGTGATTATAATAAAATCATCTTTAACGTGCCGAACATATATAGTATTTCTTTCTGGAGTTAAACACACATGATAACGTGTAGTATGCTTATTTCTTGATATTGTTACGTAAGTTACAGGTATCCACCACTTGTGTTGACACAGTTCCTTTTTAGTGACTGTTACACAGTCTATAACCTTTATTATCAAAAATTGTGTGTTATTGTGTGGTGTTACTTGTACCACAGGGTAACCATCTTGTGTTATCCAAGAATGTATCACATTTTTTATATTTATATTCATTAAAAGGCTATTGTTATATACGGCCGGCAGTACTACTAAAGTGTTCCATAAATTATCAAAAAATGACTGTTTATTGTATGTATTGTTTAACGTATTCCTACTAGTAACAACAAAAAGCATAAAAAAATAGTAGTGTTAATTTTACTGTTTATAGAAGGATATGTGATATTTTTTACACTTTACTTATTGTGCATTTTACGCTGTATTAAACATGTTTCAAGTACTGTAATATCAATTACTCACTTGGTAGAATATAATTTCATTGCTTCCTTAAAAATAGAGTTGTATAAAACAGTTTTGTTATGGAACAAAGTATTCATCATAGAAAATATATTGAAAGCTATAACATATTTCCAAAAATGTAAAAATTATAAATATCTAATTAAGTTATAAGAAAAAGAATATGGGTAATAATGTTGTCAAATGCATACAATAATAACTCTTTGCCTATACTTAATAATTCGGTGACATATTCGCGAATATTGTATTACTTATTCTCATTTTTTGTATATTTTTAAGAAGTATTATTAAAGTGAGATTATTTTTATTTGCAAGTATAGAAGCAAAAGCATACGTAGAAGTTTTAATTACTGATTTTTTAACTTTACCTTTTCCTTTCCACATTTTACTAAACGTTTTATTGTAAAGAAATACATTATCTTCTATTTGTATATCATATTCAATACACGCTTGCGTATATTCAAAAACTTCTCGTCGTGTCTGGATTACAATCGACTTCAGTAAAGTCTCAGTAGCAATCTACCAACAATTTGTATGATTACACATGTCAATTAGCACCGCCATTTATGTTTATGAAAAGTACTTTAATCTTTAATATTTGTCAAAAAAAAGGTATAATAACAACTTATCATCACTAACATTATTAAAAATTTTGTATAACAGAAACAATAACGAAAATTGAAATGTGACATTACAACTCTCTTAAAAACATAAAACACAATTCTTTGTTTTCATTCACTATGTAATACATTAGATTTATGTATATTATTTTGCATATATATAGTATTTTACACACACATACATTTGTGTATATGGAATAGTACCTTTTGTATAATGTATACTAATTGTCTTTCTAAGTAGAAATATAAAACGTATTCTTATAAATAGTTTTAGTTTGTAACCTTAAATTATTTTACAGTATTTTGTATATTAATATATATATTCATAAAATTATTTATTATTAGCAACTATTATACGTTACATAAAACTTCTTATTTTTACAATGCTAGAATGTCTTATTATTCTATATATATTTTACTATCAAAGTATATGTATGAAAGAAATTTCAAATGCAAGACTTACCTGATCGTTTAAATAAACTCCGTAAAATGACAAAAACCCTTCTATAAACCAAGAATCAGAGGTTTTTAATGTAAGTAACCATTCACTGAACATTTCTTGCATCACACTGCGCACAACCAAAAGTGCTACTTCTTTTTTTTTTATAATCGAATTTACCTCTCTATTGTATGCAATACTAACCTCTCTAAAAGTAATATTGTTGTTACAACAATTCTGTCGTTTCTATTATATGTATTATTGTTTTAAGTTAATTTTACCTGAAGAGTACAAGTGCAGTAGTTACTATAGTTTCGTAATTGTTGGAGTTTATTGGAAGTACTACATACTGCACGTATGAAACTGATGTGCTATTTTCTATCTTGTTTCTAATGAATGTTACAATATTGTTTATAAGAAATACTGCGTACAAAATGTCGTTTTTCACTTGGAATCTGCTTTGTATAGTACATGTATTTAACACGTGGACATGTTTAGTACACTCTGAAGGTACGATTGCTGTTGCTACCAAATGAGTGGATATTTTAGGTGTCATATGAAATAAAGAATAAAGTTGATCGTTTTGCACTATGTTTTCAAAAGGCATATGTGATAGAACTGTTTGATCGTGATCATGTCTAATTTGAATTGTAAATTTAGCCTTGGTTGTGGGATTTGTCCAATACGGAAATATCCAGTCAGCGGGTATACGCGGCAAAATCAAATATCTACATAATGAAAAAACGTAGATTGTATAACTACATTGGTATTTAAGTAATAACGTTTTATAGGTATTATTTTCTTATAAAACAAAAGACATACTTACTGCAGTATCGTGTACTTACTTGTCTTTTGTTTCTTTTTCAAAGATCATTGCACTTTTGTCTAAAATCCAGTTATACCTCACATTGATCCAGTATATTCCAGGTAGTATACTTATTATTTGTACATTTGTTGCTAGGGGTTTTTGATATTGTTTTATACGAATAATGTTAACGAATGAATTACTTGTTTCAGAAAATAGCACATATACTATCCATTGCAGTGAAGTATCATTAAAGACATTATCGACCGTACCATAGTAGAAATCGGTCATGTAACGTCCGAAATATAATCGTATATCTTGCAGTACACATGAAACGTTCAGTTTGACACGAGAATCAACAGTGAGAGAATTGTTTTGTACGTTTGCAGAAACATTTATACGATATTCTATTGGGTGGTAACACTGCGGTACTTGAGATAAATTCTCATCAGTTGAAGAAACAACTCCGGTTAGAAATAGTAAGCATAAAATTTCAAAGAATGTAAACATCTGCGTACTGTGAATCTATAAAATGTTTTTGGTTATTAAACAAGAATTACATACGCAAATACAAATGTAACAGACTAATTTAGTACGTATACATTAAATGTTTGTTTTTTCAGATATAAAGGTCAAGGATAAATGTGTATGACCGTTGAAGGATATGTTTCTCAGTAGGTTGCGATGTTTTTATATTTTTCAAGTACTCATACTTTCACATATTACTTGTCATAATTACGTTAGTTTTATCAATTTGACATATAGAAGGACAATTGAAAATTAGAAAGTAGAAACGTGGTCAACGTTTTTGAGAACAAGATAATAAATAATTCAAGAAACAAAATTATACTCGAGAAATTTGTCTCTATTTTTTGTGCGCGTGTTATTTAGATAATATGTTACACATTGCAAATTACGTCAACGTACAACTAAAACTTTTAATCGTAGTAATATTCATGTAATATTAATGTACAGAGTATAAATATGGACGAATAATAAGATTCGTATACACACACAACGATAAAACAGAGTAGATATTGATTTTTTATTTATAAAAAAGAAAAAATTGTTTCCATATTGTGTGTGTTTTAGCATATAATAAAAAACAGAAAGTATATTTGACGACATAAAAACTTACGTAACAAATAATACAATAGTTTTATAACTTACCATGGTTGAAATAATATATTTATCACTTACAATATAAATCTTGAACATTACTTTATACGCATTATCGCTCTAAGTTCAAAAACAAATTGCCTAAGAATATCTGCGATCATGCTTTGTCGAGAGATGATCGATAACTACAAGCCAGTCGTTTTCGTGAAATAATAAATACATATCACGATGTAAATGACCGTATTGGGGGAAACGACTTTACTTGAGTTATATTACGTATACATATGTATAGAAATATGAGATTTGAAATATGTATTTTTAATGTTCAATAGACAGTCAGTTAGAAACTGTTTTATCCGGAAAACAGTTTAGTTTATCTACGTTTTTCTAAAAGTTTATAGTTGAAATAATATAACAAAACTCTACCGATATTTTCAATAAACTGTTTTTAAATGTGCCGATGTTGCACTCGCAAAGATGTAAAAGATTTGTTGCAAGGAAAGTAATAACACAAGCGGAAGAAGTACTAATAATTGAAATCTTAAAATTAGTTAGTAAAAAAAAATCTATTTTCTTTTAGTTATTTTGCTTAGATTTCTTACTTCTGGTTTCACGCAAAGATATGCGATAAGTTGCGTAGGGTTACGCCCGATGCGAGCGTAATAATTTTCAGAAGACTTTCTGCAAGTAGTATGTTCTACGATTTGGCGACCTAAATATTTCACCAAAACAAAAGTAGTATCGGTATTATGCGTCAGTTTAGGATGCATTTACTATTTTTCTTTACTATTAGTGCGGTTTCTGTTTATAGAAACTGTCGCAATGTTTTTTCGAAGACAGATACGGTAGATGAAAAATTATTTCTCGCTTTGCTTTTACTACTGATGTAAATAAAGCTCGGTAGCATATTTATGGACACTACTGTACATTGATAAGATGATCTATATCGAGTTTCACGTTATTTTGTCACGATTTTTGAACAAGACAAGTTAACTGATTACTCAGTAAATTTGTTTTTCTTACTTATTTCTCGCGACAGTTTGCTAAAAATTAAGTTTTGATGTACAAATAAATTGTTTTGAAGGAAAATGTAAGATGTAGGGAAATATTTCTATAAGCTGCGTTCTGATATTTTCTGCCAATACTGAAATTTTATAGCACATGTGACGTAAAGTATAGCTTTTTAGTACTATAGAGAAGATAGCAGTAAATATTGAAACGCCGTCACAATTAATATACATTCTTTTTTTTTTATCTCATTGTTTGTCTGAGCCACAACTGACTTCAGTAAAGATTCAACATTAATGTACCAACAGGTTTCAAAATTGCACAAATATCTACCCAAACTTTTTAGCTATTATAATATAATGTAATTTTAGTAAGAGCAAACTTTATGACATCTTTTAGTAAGAAAATTTAGAGTAAAACAAGTTAATAAAATCACCGCAAATGATTAGTATGAAGTATTACAATCTTATGTATGTATAATGTGTATATTAAGTATATGTAAATACTGTCAAATTAATAATTTGCAACAAATTGTGTGCGATCACTATTTAATACGTACATAACTTGTTATTGTTCAATCGAAGCGCATTTGCGCCGTCCGGAAAACCACAGAAAAAAATCGCGTGCTATCGGAGCGCGTAGATGCTCTTTGAAAAGCTATTGATGTGCTTGCGGCAACAGAGTTCGTAGAGAATCTATCGGAGATTAATAGATAAGAAACGTCATCGGAGATTTTTTCGTTTGTCGAGCAAAGTCATTTCTGTTTATAAAACTTAGTCACGTGCTTACAAAAGTACACAAATATAATATTTACTCGAGAATGCGATCGGTTGAATGCGATCAGTTGCTTGAAAGCCGCGCGCTGAAATATATTCGAATACTAGACTAAGTCGCGTAAGTCGCGCACGAATTGCTAAAGTAATCACGGCTTCTTCTTCTCAGCGAGCAAGTTCAAATTCTGACCACAAAACTCTACGTAAATAAACGACAACTGATAGTCACGCGAAATTTTTGTCGTATAATATAGTCTATATCATTTACATTGTGTTATTTTCTTTTCAGAGTTACAACATTTTTTTACACATTGTTACATTCGTTTTCCACATCTCCCACAATCAAAGCTGATTGGAGGCCCTATTCAATTTTTTCTATCGCTAAACTTGACTTGAAAAGAACTGACCCCGAAAAAACTTGATATGTAAATTCGAACTCGAAAATTCTCGTTCACAGTTATCGCACTTAAGCCGCAAACCCAGTAAATTGGTCTCATTTATTCTATATCAGAAGTACTTTAGTTTACAAAACCAAATTAAATTTCAAAACAACAGAATAATAGTTTTATATACGTGACATTTTGCATTCTAAGGTAATGTTTACTAGTATTAAAATCTTTTTGTAAAGAAAGTATGACAGGATATCATTTCATAGCGTGTGCGCGTGTAAAGCAAACAAGATAAAATTATTCGGATTACAATCGTTTTTTTAGATCTTGTGAGACTTTATTGGTAAAGAAAATCTTTTTTTTTATTTTACTTAACGTATATGTAATAAAATTATTTTCTTTCTTTCAGTAATCACTTTGCTCTGGCTATTATTAATCAAAATAATAATATATGTTTAAGTCCTACATTGACTACGATTTTGATTGACATTAATGTTATTTCTTTAATTATGACGAACAGCGATGTTTACCAAAAAAGTTGCATTATTATGAACGTATGCTTTTAAGCACTAACCGATGAGTAGAAACATAAGAAAATATTCTGTTTGAGTGTAACATATTTTTACATACAGAAAGTCTGAGTATTTAAATAAAAATGTTTATAGGTATATTGCAAACAAATGTTTTTACATAAACGTTTTTGAAAACATTGCGCAATAAGACCTAAAGAATCGTCTAAAACTGACACAGTTCATTTTACAAATATTGTTTATATTATAAGAAATTCTGTTTTACATATCTTTTTTTAAACATATTAAATAAAAACCTGAATAAATTTTACTTAAATACATTATAATAAAAGTATCATTTGTTTGTTTTTACATACATACAAAACTATATTACAAGTAACATTATTTTATCATACATACATAAATTTGAATATACATTTGATTTTTCTATAACCGTTTTTTTTCACTTTATAGTTGTACATACCTGCATACTTGTTTTTATATAAGTTGTGCTTCGTATTCGTTTGTGCGCAATTATTCTAGTTAAATGTATACTTAATCGTTTTTGTGTAAAGACAAAAACTTATGGTATATTTTTAGTATTTCAATTTATAAAAAAATTCTATTTTTTTTATGAACAAGTTGCAATTATAACATAAATAAAAATCTCTAAAATATATTCTCGTAATCTAATAATACGTACACTATATTTAAAATAGACATTAACTATAATTTACACCAAATTTAATGTTATAAATAAAATCGAATTTTTTATATAACAGTATCCAAGTATAATAATAAGCGCATAAACATGTACGAATATTATTTTTTAGTTAAATAAAAAAATAGCACACAAACATTAAAAACCACTTACTTTTTCATATTTTTGTAATCAAATAAGTCGTGGACTTTATTACGAATGTTATCTCGCGTTCTACTTACAAAACTACGGCGAGAATCAACCTTATTTGCTATGATGTCGTTTATGAACAGTGCCTGAAAAAGATTACACCATATATTTTTGATACTACATTGGATATATTTTGTATAAAAAAAATTAAATATATTTTGTGAACTTTGTAACAATCTGTACACGATATGAATTATATTTTGTAAAATTAAAAATAAAAGTACCAGTTTTAAATAAAAATAATGTACAAATACAAAACAAAAACATTTTTATTCTTCTGTTTCTAAAAAAAACTTTTATAAAAAAACTTTACCAGGTGTTTAAAAAGCAGTACTACAGCCTTAGTAACCTAAAACAATCGTGTGATAATACTAGTGAACGTAATGACTTGTGAAACTGTATTAAACATGATCATCTTATATTACGCTAAATTAAGAGTACATACAGTACTGTTATAAGTGTAATACTCGCGTACTTATAAGTATTCATTAATAAGAAATGTATTTTTTATTTATATATACTTATATTAAACTATTACTTTTACTCAACGTACCTTTTCCATATCTTCATCTAAATATATGTGGTTAATACAAAAATTCACAATTGCAAGTAGACTGATGTTTCTTTTAAATAAAACACACATAACAGATAGTTAGTACAAAATCTTTTTTAGTATACTTAAACTCTTATACAATACAAAAAAACAATTTATATAAAGTGAATAAATCTAACGACAAATTCGATTGGATACACTAATGCGCACTGAGTGACAATCAAAGTTGTTCTAATATACATATATTTTGTAATATCATACTAAACTATATAAAAGTATAAGTGTAATGTACAGTACATGTACAAATAATATATATATAGTATAAAAATAAATAAACAGTTCTCTATACAAAAAAATTTGGTTACCTTGGAAATCTGTCTTTTATTTGGCTTATTATAGTGTCCAATGAAGAAAAATCTTTCACATGTCTTGCAACAAGATCGAAAAGAATAGTAACAGAATTACTTTCTTTTATCGAATCATGTTCAAGTTCTAATCGCAAAATTTCTATACCATGATGCAGTTTACAACAAGATAAATATTGAATAAATTGTTTTTTTTTCACATGTAACACGTACATGTTCTGTATTGTTTTCCACGTTATATAAGTTATAATTTGTTTTCTCGTACCGTGGCAATGTATCCATTTTTGCCAACCTGCCAACAATCTGCAAATATTTACAAGAAAATATATAATTATACTCACACAGTATTACTCGGACGGTTTTACATACTTTTCTTATGACATCAAAATGAAGTATCGACACTCATGTTACATTTGCTATTACGGTTTTTCTAACTGTAGAAACAAAGAGTTTTTGACGGTATATTTACCTAAGTTTATACACAATTATACGTACTTGTAATGTACAAATTGATATACTTCATAAAAATAAATGTAATTATATTTACAGAATAATTCAGTCGCGAACTTGTGTTATTACAATATCATAATTTTGTATCAACTCAGGTTACAGTTACATAATA